CACTCGGACCAGTTGAAAGTTCCAAAATAACATCCATTCCAGGGATACAAATTGAGGATACGCAGAAGACTGCTGTTTTATTATAGGCGGTAGTTATATATTGTATTATCCGAGTTGCACAGTATATAAACTGGAACATTTAGATCAAAAGTGTTGACGTAGAGTGAGCGATCTGATTCTTTAGCTATAAACTGTGGCATAGGAATCAAAATGGCCGCGCCTTATGTTGGGCGTGTCGGACCTCTCTCTTGCACCGTATAGTAAAGAAAATCAAAGTATGTGGATAAGGGAGATAAAGATAGAAAACGCCCATATAAAGCCGATGCTTAATAACGACCAGCTTTATCGCAGTTAACATCTGACCCACTATGTGGCGCTTTCATCCATGTTAAACAACGCAGCGGGAAATTTAAAAACCTAGTAATAAAGGTGGTATAAATATCGATTGCACTCTCATGTTCTTGTAAATAAACTTAAACAATGTAATTACGCTAAATTAGATATTAATTAAAAATAATACTACTTACAGTCTATTATCGATTAATTATTGTAAATCTATATTCATGACAAATATTTTTTAATTATTGATTTTAATTTGTAACATTGTTGAATGCAAATTCAATAATGGGAAGTCAGATATTTTTCTTCCTATATCAAATCTTCTTTCTAACGTTTTGAAGCCATTTTCTTGTTCTAAAACAATTAATAATACATAAATATCTACTTTGCGACAAAAGTTGATTATTATTTGTGTTATTTACATGAATAGATCTTACCTACTTTGGTTAATTAAAGAACGCCACATTGGGGTTGGTAAATTTGTTCATGTGGCACGTGTTACGAATGCAATACGTTCTTCAACTTATTGTAATATACGCTAGTTGAGTGATGATGTAATTATGGTTCCACTGACAATTAATGTGACAGTAAATTTTTTGAGTGCGTTTTGTTCGTTTTGTTTACCTAAATTATAACGTTTTTTCGCTTTTGTAAATATATTTCTAATATAAGTAATGACATGCATCAAATATGCAATCGTTTAGTTACCAATTACATACCTATAATCTATTTTTTATGACCTGTAAACAATATTTAGAAAAAAACCTAAAACAGTAAAAACGTATATGTCAAATTTATTGATGTTTTTGTTAAAAGTTTGGTTATAATTAAATGTCAGTGAAACCAAAATGACATCACACCAAACTAGCGTATTACAAAATATTAATTATTGTCCTCAAATTTCACACAAAAACAGCCACAACTATTTCGCTTAGTTCATCTAGAAGATAACATAAACATGAACTCAAAATTTGAAATTTAAATTCAGGATTTTTCGATATACATAAAACTAACTGACATTTATATTTACAAACTGTCCACTGCTATCCACGTCTATTAGGTATTCCAATGACCTGTCCAAATGGCTACCAGTGGGTAATGACAGTTTAGATATGGCAACCCTGTTGTCATGTTGTCATTAACAGGGTCAATGATACATATATAGTTATATAGATTGATCAAAGCTGGTCGTTTACGAGCGGCCATATTGCCTGGCAAATATTTATTAATCTGAATCGGTTTAGCAAAAATGTGTTTTAAAACCAATTTTTAGCCTTTAGATATTTAAAAAAAATAATTGCCTACATTTTTACTTCAAGGCATAAGCTTATGTTTATTTTGAAAAATATGGATGATTAATCTATGTAACTATCTATTTCATTGACCTTGTCAAATCACTAGGCCTACAGGGTTGCCATAATTTTGCCATATCATAACCCGTCAGAACCCACTGGTAGCCATTCAGTTTGGAATGCCTAATTGTCTGTCTCAATGTTGCCAACCGTACGATTTAAATCGTATTTATACGATTTTTTAACTCTCTGTACGATGTACGATTGCATCAGTGAGATCGTACGTAAAAATACGATCTTCACTTTTTAGTAGGTCTATTTAAA